CATTGTGGGACAGTTCTACCCTGTCCTATAGCATCTCTATGAGTCAGAATCCACTCGAAAGCAACTGGTTTGGGTTTTGGGGATGTTATATGGTAGACAATAGCCTAAGAAGGACCAGTTAACATAGATTTGAATATTGTATACTTCTCCAGTGCTAAAGAAATTGGGAACACACTTGCCTCTTTCACTAATCTAAACAAAGCAATGTCTCTCTACTACAGGCCATGTACAAAATTAACAATCAGATTTTTGTTACATTTTCGAGACATGAAGAGATCTCAAAATACTCTTGCCCAAGGACATATGTTTAAACAGATTGAAGTTTACCAACTTATGCTTTAAAAAATTAAACTGGCAACTTAGAATAAATCGATTTGACAGCTGACAGAGTATCTCACATTTTTCCCTGTCTATTTTTATACCACAGTTTTTACTATTGTTTTCAAAATGCCTGTTCTCTATCTTCCTTCCTCTAACCATCTCCCAAAAAACACACATTTTTTACTATATAACTTTCCATTTAAATAATTAATCTTATAATTTTTATTCACTATTTATAGAGTTGAGTTTCCCTAGAATTCTTTCAAATGCACACACATCTATGAATTAAAAGCATCTTGAAAATAGCAGACAACAATACTATTAGTCAGTAAAATAGTACCTAACTCTAGCCTTGATTTCATCCTAAGGAATACGTATGAGGAAGAGAAGAGAGAATTAAAATTACTTTCAAGGAAAATATTTAGACTTTCATGGAAAATGAATTAACTACTTTTGAGACAGTAAAGATGTCTATTATTTGATTTAATGTAAATATTCCTTCCTTCATCTTTCCTTTCTTGAATACAATTGTATGATAATAATAATCCATTTTCTTTGCATATTAATGTGTCCAGTTTAATTTTAATTTTTTATCTGTTGCCATCAGATTCGGAAGATAAGAAGAAAAATTATTCAATAAGAGAGAGAGAGATTTTTTAAATTCTCTGTAAAGGACAGCAATACACACATCAAGACTAAAGAAACGTCCATATCAAAATTACTTCCTCTATAGAGCGCTCAATATTGTTGAACATATTGTAATAAAATCCATGAGCAGTCATAAATACAAGTTGATCTGATCACTTTATTCATGTTTTATAACCGTTTGTTTTTCATCCTGATGTCAATCATGGAGAAGATGATTATTAGCAGGACATTAAGCCAAAGACTCTGGAGCCAACACATTAAAAAATGATATTTACATTTATCTCTTCCTGTTGAGCCTTAGTTAAGACCTTAAGCTAAAAACACTTCCCTTCTAAACATTCACAGAGAAAAAAAGTGATAGAATGTAGAATATGCTGTAAATTTACGTTTTGATGAGGACAGTAAATTACAGAACAGAAGTACCAGAAACCTCATGCCCCTACCAACAAAATGTATTCCTGAAAATGATAGGCTTCAATTAGGGTGATTAAAACTGAAACCAATCCAATAATTCAATGATAGCTTAATGTTTGGAGAATTGAATATTGACGTCAGACCCATTGCAACGGATGTTTGTATTTAATTTGGAGAAAAATTTGCTTTTAAAAACAGTATTATTTTTAAAAAAAGTAATTCTGATTCCTTGTTAATTATACTATATACTATAGAAAAGAATGTGGTATAAGGTATCTGCCTTGGATTTAATCTGGTTGGAGCAGCGAATTAATTGTTGAAATATCCAAGACTTGCATTATATATCTTCGTTCTATCTTCAAGACATTCCAAAGGGATAGACCTTAAGAGAGTATTATAATGAGACTGAAGCATCACCCTACCCCTTAACTGTGGTGCTCTGTATATTAAAAGGATCTCAGAAAATCTTCTGTGATTTAAAGGATTCCAAAATGTTGATCCTTCCCAAAATAGATGAGTTTCTGAAGATTATAGTCCTAATTTTTTATTCAATTCAGAAATAAGTCCCTTTGATTTCGTGACAAAGGATGAATTTTATTGTATAAACAGATGGGTAAAAATGATGAAATTGCCAGATTTATTTTTAAAAACCTCCAACACCGAAAGGAGCAGCAAAACATCATTCAAGAAATATTACTGAAAATAGAAATAAACACATAATATCTTGGGATAATACTTTTGTTATTTAAAAATTCTTACAAAGCAAAGTTTCTCACTGAGAAACACACAACATGAGAAAGCTGGGAAAAAATATACACAATTAGACAAGGAAGCTAACGAAGGAACAAACAAATGTCATATCTTACGACATTTGACTAATTGAAATATTTATAATCCAGCAACAATTTATCTTGGCCAAGAGACAATTGCCCACACTAGTGCTTATACAATAATCACCCCTCCCCAGAATAACATTATTTTAAATTAGATATTATGATACTTACATTTTGTTGTACCAAAAATAAGAAAAAAGTTTTCCTACAAAGTATGTTTTATTCATAATTAAAAACGCAAAACATCTCCCTTGTGAATTTGCATTAGGTTAAACATACGTTGATATCACCAGATACATTAATGAAATGTGTTTGTGATAAAATTGGAAATTAAACTAATGAATCTTCATTTGCAATGATTAACTAATAGACTATAATCTTTATAATCCAATTAATTAGAAGAGGAAAGAGCTGTCGAACAGAGATTCTGGAACCAATACCGACATACAGCTTTATCTCACAGAGCCTTTCAAGAAGGATTAATTGTTGCTTTTCAAAATAGAAAATTAATATAGTACCCCACTGTTCAAGAAGGCACCTAGGGAAGCAGTGAGTGTTTATGGTGATGGAAATTTCGCGTGGTAGCTGCACAACATGATTAATGTAATTGACACCACTAAATTGTATACCTAAAAAATGTTGAATTGGCAAATGTTATGTTACATATATATTTACAATAATAATAATAAAAAGGAGGAATGCACGTAGGTTAGGTGAGATGAGCATGATGGGAGGAGACCATGACATAGCAGGGCCTTAATCTTCCATTTGCCTGGCTGCTCAGGGGAGAGTCTCCCATTTTTGTGAAGGCACATACTTGAGACCAGATTTTAGAACTGTCTGCCTAGAATGGGCAGAGTCTGTGGTGTGGGAATCTTCATATTATGATTCAAAATGATGAGCCTAGACAATAGAATAAGGGACAACTGGAGAAAGTGTCACTTCTCACAACCTCCTGAATCCTCCTGAAATCAGTGTTTTAGCCCATCTAGTCTTTAAAAAGGATCCCTGGTGGTACAGTGGTTAAAGTGCTCTGGCTGCTAACCGAAAGGTGAGCAGTTTGAACCCATCAGCCTTGCTCCACAGGAGAAAGATGTGACAGTCGACTTCCATAAAGATTTACAACATTGGAGACCCTACAGGGGCAGTCTGCTCTGTCCTATAGGGTCACTATGAGTTAGAATTAAGTCGACAGCAGTGGGTTTGGTCTGTTGGTTTTTTGGTATTTAAAGAGCTATAAAAAGCAGAACTTCAGGAGAAGAAACTAGTGTAAAGCTGTAGATTTCCCTGCAGTCCAGGGGTCTCCAGAATATCCAGATTTCAGATAGAGTACATGGATCCTGGAGTTAGTTATGGGAATTATATAAGAGATTTGTCCATTTAATGTTAACCTATGTACTTGGAGCCCGGGTTGCACAGTGGTTAAGACCTCAGCTGCTAACCAGAAGGTTGGCAGTTCGAATCCACCAGCCTCTCCTTGGAAACCCTATGGGGCAGTTCTACTCTGTCCTATGGGGTCGCTATGAATCAGAATCAACTTGATGGCAATGGGTTCAGTTCGGGTATATGCTACTTGGCATTTCCCACTAACAATTTCTACTTTGAAGAGAAGAGTCCACACAAAGATTTTATTCCCTGAATCATACTAAAAGAACAAGAATGCAGATTTTAAACCAGTGATCAAAATAACACCTGGTTGACAAATATTATTTTGACAATTGATAGTAACAGTATTTCAATCACTACAATCACACAGAAAAAAAGTTGGCTTCATGCAGTGAGATAAATTGCCTAAATAAATCATCATAAAAATAATATAGCAAACAAATATTTTCATACATTTGGTAATTTTGCTTCAACTCTGATATGACCCTCCATTTGGGCTGCATTTGAACATATGTAATGTGTTTATTAAACAAGAGGCTTTAATTTAATTTACCTAGTGGAGTAACATCCTGTAATTTTATCATAATGACACTTAATAGCTAAGCAAAAAATATCCTGGAATCATGTGAAAGCAGCTGGGTCATTCAAAGAGGCAGAATCAGTGCCTAGCAAGAATGAATGAAAAGGTTTAGCCCCTGATGAGATCTAAGGGGCTAAGCTGGATATTCAGCTAATATGTTTCCACCTGGTGGAAGCTACTATTAATCACCAAGTCTTGACCAGTTAATGACCAAACTGTCAACTGACTCAGTGTAATCTCATTCCATTTCTACTTTTTGGTCAATATGTGTACAGGTAAAAGCTCTTGAACATAATAACCATTTACCAAAAAAAAAAAAAAAAAAAAAAATTTCATTGCCATTGAGTCAATTCCAACTCATAGCAACCCTATAGGACAGAGTAGACTGCACCATACGGGTTCCAAGGCTATAATCTTTATGGAAGCAGACCGCTACATCTTTTTCCCTCGTGGAGTGGCTGGTGGTTCGAACCGCCCACCTTTCAGTTAGCAACCAAGCACTTAACCACTGTGCCACCAGAGCTCCTTAATAACCATTTAGAATTCCAAAAACAAGTATCTGTCTAACTCTGAACTATGCTTCCCTGAGGGTCGGGGCATCTCTAGGTTCACATTCAGCCTATGGTGATAAATCAAAAGACGTGTCTGATTCTATTGACCAAGATGCTTCTATCACATTCTTCTAAACTAAAAGCAGAATTTTATTTTAGTAAAGGCAAAACATTTAAGCAGAAATCTTCCCCACAGAAATTTTAGGAACATAGAAAAAAATGACATTAGAAACATAAAATTGACTATGCTTTTGCGCCAACACTGACCTTCTGTTCCAAAAGAAATATGTTTGTAGGGATTGCCGCAAAAGCCTTGTAGCTTGACTTGGTCTTGTATTGCTAGAATAAGCAACCAGAAAGTAAGAGTGAAGATGAAAAGTGGAAAGGATATGACATAATTTTAGACTAGTTCTACCAAGTTAATGGCATGTTATCAAATGAAGAAAAAATTCTTATGTTTGAACAACTTACTTCTGACAGAAAAAATTAGCTTACCATGTTAATATTTTATTAGAATAAGAAGCAAAGAACTACCACAGTAAAATATCAGCCTAGGGATCATAGACAATTATGTGCTACTCAATTTCAGAACTTAAAAGCATTCATTTCCACAAAGTTATGTATAAATTTCTCATTAGCAGCATTTCCTCCTAGAAGTACTATTCTATAAATGTCGGGGTTTTTGCTTGATCCAGAAAGTGGTTCTTTTTTATACTGCCGTAATTAACAAATGGTATGCCAACAAATTTAACTGAACTCTTATACATACTCTTGCATCATTCATAAAAACACAGGTCAGAATACACAGAATTAGCAGCAGTTTTTTAAAAAAAAAAAATCAGCAATGCAGCTGATAATTTGAATATAATTAATATCAGCAATTTAACTCCATAATGGAGAAACTAGGAGGCCAAGCTCTTAATCTCAAATTCATTTCCTTAAACTTCACCATAATTTCCTACACTTTATAATACAATGGTGTTGATAAGGGTCACAGAGGCATAGCAAATGATAAAACTTCATGAGTTTTAAGTTAAACTCAGAGTACTATAGTTCAGGTTTGTGGAGTATTTGGGGAGGGAAATAAATATAAGGAAGTCGTAGAAATCAGGATAATATGCACAATCAAAACCTTGATTTTGATATTGTTCTGGGTTCCAACCTGCTTAACTAAGTTCAAGGCTCCCATCACTTCAAAATTCTGTGTCTTAGGCAGCTTCCCCAGGGGTCCTGGGCCAGCAGAAAATCAGCTCAGAGCTCCAGGCTGTCTTAGTGCCCTGGGAAGCAGACCAGAGGTTCTGCAGAAGAAGACAGGGTAATCAAATAAAGTGAAACCTTGAGGTTATGAAGGTATTTGAAGTAACCTTCATTAAACTGGTGTGAGAAAGCTAAGAGGCTGGCACAGTTGATTTCCTTAGGAAGAAGTTGAAATAGACAAAGTGCCAGACTCGGAGGAAGGAAGTCAAACGTTCATTTAAAAGCAGAACGTTGTCCCTTTTTACTTTTTTCTGTTTATTGTGTTAAATATAATGAAAAGAAATTAGCAACTTGAGGCCTGATATCAGCAGGTGGCATAGGATGCCACCTAGTCAGATAATTCTAGAGTCCACTCAGTCACACACATGCTCACTTACACATATTCATACACACAAATATATATATATATTCACATGCACATATACTCACAAATTCACATGTATTCATACTCTCTCACACACACACACTCACTGATACACACATATTCACTTATATATAGTCACACACCCACACGCACCTACATACATATATTTACATGCGCACACAGTCACAAATTCACACATACTCACACATACATCACACATACACATTCAGCAAAACACACAAGCAGCAGTTCAGAAGCTATATGTCCCCCGCCCCCCCACCCCAAGAAACAAACTTTTAATGATCACTTTTGTTTCACATTCTCTCTCCCAAATTCCAACCAACCAGCTCTTGTCTGTCATAGGAACAAGTGGTGTGGCCTTCAGCAAATCTCTCAACACTTCTGGGTCCCAGGCTTCCATCTCCTACATGAGGGGTGATGGCTGTAGAATGCCTCGAGTCCTTTCAAGCCCTAAGTCTCTACATTGACCCTGCACTCCTACAGTCTTCAGACAGTTTGAATAAGGATTGAGAATGAAATGTCATATCTTTCTGGGAAAGAGAAGCTGACATTTATTACTAAGCAAATCACATACAGTGCCTCATTTAATTTTATAAAAGCCCTATAACCGAAGAGTCAGTAGGAAAAGGAGACATGGTGAGGTAAGGTGACTTATCCAAGACCATGCAGCCCCTAAAGAGCAGAAATAGGTTTATAACCCAGACCTGCATGGATTCAGTGCTCATGCTTTCTCTCTAGGAAGAACTTTTCTCCCTCAGAATATCCAAATGAACTCCTAATGCAGAATAAAATATACCACTAATACTATACGATGGTTTTTGAATATTTAATTGTAATAATAGATATCATAATAAAAACAACAATATCTAACAATCACTCTGTACCAGGTACTATTCTAAAAGGTTTATATATATTATTTCATTTAATTGTCACAACAAACCTATTAGGTAGATATATTATACCCATTTATACATGGAAACTGAGGTTCAGAGGCATTAAGTAACTTACCCAAGGTCATCTGGCTAATAAATCACACCAAGATTTAGACACAGGCACTCTAGCTCAACAATTGTGCATTTATCTACCATACACCCCTGCCTCTCATTTCAGAATCCATAATCATTTATAATGTTTGTCCTGCTGTCCTCACCCCTAAAGAATCTAGTTGGAGAGGCCTGTACACAGAGATTTCTTGTTATTGGAAACATAATATCACAGAATCTTAGAACCAAAAGTGATATTGGAGGCCATCTGATTTAACCCTTTCATCCAAGACATGAATCCCTCTGTTCTTCTGTTCAGTCATCACATGAACATTTGCCTACCCCCCAAGGTAGCACATTCAGGTCTAATTGTTAGAAGTGGTACAAAACTCTCTCTTATATTGAGCCAAAATATGCCTCCCACTAAATTCCTTCATTGGTCTTACTTCTCCCCACTTGGAATCATGGTGCCTGCTAAGAGTCGTCTTCTGCATGGTAGCTGTACTGCTGCTTTTACAACTCCCTCCTTACTGAAGAATTCCACTATCTTCATCAATCTCCTCTGTCAATATTCCTTTAAATTTTGAAAAAAGTATACAACCTTCAGATGTGTTTAACGCAAAGTAAAATATAACCGTTACGTCCATGATGTTGATGGTAAACACAATTAATGCAACGAAGATAATAATTGGGATTGTGTCCTTGGCTTTTGTGGAGAGTTTAGAATATACATGAGGTAGAGGTCAGAGTCATTTCATATTGTTGGATTACACTGAGCATGTTATCACCTAAACTGCCTAGATCTTTTTTTTTTTAAACATTTGTTGAAATTCAACTTCATCCTGTGCTTATGCTTTTATTTTCTAGACCCAAAAGTTGGAATTTAGGTATTATCTCTATCCAATTTCATCTTATTAGAGTTGATTTGTCATTGTAGACCACAAAAGTTAGGATTTTTATACAATTTCATGAGCCATTTTGTTAGACATGACATTTTCATCACATTCAAGTTATATGGCAAGGGTAGGGAGTTCTTGCCACTGGATTCTCCCAGCCAGCTGAACATCAATCCTTCTCAAAAATCTATTTGGATAGGGCAGTTCAACTAATTGATTCACTCAGCGAATACTTATTGACTATCTACTACATTACATGCACTACTCTAGGTACTGGAGGTAGAACAGTAAACAAAATATTTGAAGCCTCTATTCTCTAGAGCTTACATCCTGATGAACGGAGACAAACTATAAACAAATAACTAAGTGAGCAAAAGAAATGTCATATGGAGATAAATAATATACATAAAACTGAAATAGGGTGATGGGATAGACAGTGACCTCAGGGATGCTTTGTATTGGGTGCTCAGGGAACAGTGGTAAATTCACAGAAATATCTCATCATGCCTCTCCTATCTCTCCTTCTTGTTCATGATATCATGAGAGATACTACAGAAGCTAGAACTTGGAAGGCATCCAATAAATGTCTCTTGATTCAACAAAATCTCTGATTTCCAGTATAACTATTTTTGTAAACATTTATAAACCAGGAATATAGGCCACAATTTTCGGAATTTATCATCCTACCTTTTTGTGAAAACTGGAACATAGGGTTCTCTCCTTTTTTCTGATAACCCTCTTATTTCCCATCATTTACAATAGTTTTGCAATAAAAGTTGAAATGTCACTGTTTTGCAACAAAATTTACCTAGACCAGGAGAAATGAACTCATTTAGAACAACTAGATGTTCTTTCTAGTTTATCAATCTTAATCTTTCAGCTCCTCTAAAACATATGTACCTTTTTTTTTCAGTCTGAGAATCATTCTTGTTTCCATAAAAGATACTTTTGGGTCCACTGTCTTTCCTCTGGTTCTCTTAACCCTATGTACTCTCTTAACAATATATACTCAATCCAAGTAACAGAGCTCTTGAGTCAAGTTTGGCGCATATTTCTTCTTCCACTCCAGGGCTTCTAGGTGATGAGCCAATGCATTGCTTTCTCTCTTTGGTTTAAAATTAAAAATCCTCCAGTCAAGGACGTTTTAGCTAACTTGAATAACAGCCTGTATGTAGTATTACAGGCTAGAATAACTATCAGGTAATCATAGGAGGTAGAACCAGGGTTAGATTAGCTAGTAAGCATGGTACTCACGGGCTTACTTGTGCTTCCTTACTAATCTGCAGTGCACAATTCCACATGGGTTTCACCACATTTGTGGTGAAAAACAGGTGAAATTGTGCACTGCAGATTAGTAAGGAAGCACACGTAAGCCCGTGAGTAACTTACTTATTGGGTAATCCATCCTGAGTAGAACTGACCAGCCTGACCCTGAATGGGCAAAAATACAATGATACCTGTTATACCTCTTGACCTTATAATCTTTGCTTTCAATCAATATTCAATAAATATTTATTAACTATATAGTACCTGACCGATAAAGAGAAAAGTATAGGTTTAGAAAAGGAAATGGCATTTTTGTACATAAGTTATATTAACCAGAGCTAGTTGATAGACAGTGTTTGATACTATAACATAAATTCTGTGTGTGCAGGTAGGGATGGTAAGGATACATCCTGTCCCTTCAGAAAATATAAAATTCACCCTTTTCACCCATAGAGTTGTATTTAGGTTCCCAACATATTTTGCCTTCACTTATAAAATAGTTTTAATTTTCCTACTAGTAAGTTACCATGGTGTTCTACTATCCTACCCCATGTCTTGTTGCTGATACCTAAAATTTCACCATACCCAAAAACCAAAGGCATGGTCATCGAGTCAATTCTGACTCTCCAGTAATTACGACTCATGAGGTCTTAAAGTGAACTATTAGTTGCCTCGACAATAGGGACATTGGGACTTGTAGTTACACTCTAGGTGCAGGTGCTTGTAGAATTTCAGATTACACAAACGATAGGAGGAGAGAACCCTGGTGACGAGCCTCTGTACCATCATGGACAACTTCTAGAAGCACTCATGAACCGAAATGAGAGCATCACTCTAAATGGATGCTTCCTGCTCCTCAGTGATCACATCTGCACTGTGCAAGTCACAATCTCCCTGATACCAGATCACATACAGAAACGTACTGACTGTTGCCAACAAGTTTCCAGTGTGATGTATTTGGAAATATTTTGACACCTTAAAGGAATGAGGGTTTTATAAGTAAAACACCAGCTATAAAAGCTCATGAAATATCACAAAGCTCCCAACTGATTCCCTAAAGAAGCTATGTGTCCAAATAGCTTTAAGGCCAGGGCGTGCATGCTACCAGAGCTTCTTATAGCTGGTGGAGACCTTCAGACCATCTGCAGTGAGCAACAGACTATGCAAGGGTTTGAAGTGATGGTCATCCCAAACTCCCATTTGGAACATCATGACAACTCACTAGGAGAAAAAATAAAACTGTTTTATAAATAAAGGCAAAATATATTGGAAGGAATCTAAATACAACTCCACGGGTGAGTTCCATGATACCAGTCTTTCTCAAGGGAAGAAAATGTCTCAGACCATGTAGATCTTGATCAAAGAGTAGTCTGAGCAACATTCAGTAGCCCATTCTAAGACCATGATTATAATGCAAATAATGTTTTAAAACTACACCTGAAATTAAAATATCCTCTTATCAATTATATCATACTACTGCAAAACAGATTCAGAACCTTAGGATTCTATCAATGAAAAAGAAACATCAAACATGCTTTATATCTGGATTCAGCTCAACATACTCAAGCTGTTCCATTTTAATATCAAAGGACAGTAGGGCCCAGACTTTGAACTAATATCATTCAAATATTCTTATTTAAATTAGACGGCCATCTATGTTCTAAGACCCCTTTCCTTCCGGGATCTGAGACTGAGTGAAGCTGATCTAAATCTGAAGCTCTTTGACTTCAAAGGCAGCCCTGTGCTTGGATTGGTACCACAGTAAAAGGAGCAAGACAAGAAACCCACGAAAGCAGATAAATTCTTTGATATCACAAAGCTTTTGTCTATTTCCACGTATAATTCTATAAAATAATCTTACCAATTTAAACAAAACTAGTCAAATGTCAAGAGAAACAGGGATAAGCTTTATCTACCCCAGGATCAATTTTAATGAATTTTTTATACTCAAGTTACAATTTCCGCAAATAATAGTTTGTAATAAAAATAAAACTGTAGGCTGATTTTTACCTAGAGAGCTAATAGCAAGAAGCAAGGAAGAAATAAGTATGACAAAAACAGCATGTCTCAGAGAGCAAGTGTTTCTGCAGAAGTTATAAACGATTCCATTTTATTCTGGGAAATTTTTACCCATGATAAGAAACTTTTTTTTTTTCTGTTCAAAGGAATAGAGGAATATTTTTTGTACTGGTATGTAAATTACATCCATTCCTCTCATTTTCATATTCATCAAATTCCTTGTGAATTTCTATAAGCTTGAACTTTCTTGACTTGGAAATAAAACCAAAAAAGAAGCAAATTGTGAAAATTTTTGTATTGTGGGAGCAATAAGAGATCTAGGGAAGAACAGGACTTAACCATACAGGCCTTTACTTTATCAAAAGCCCTCCTGGGCTCACTCTCTTCCATCTCTCTCATTACATCCAAAACAGGACGAAACATGAACAACACACAGTGAACACCAAACAGAAACACCTTGAAGAAGCTTCAGGAGTAAAATTACTTCTCATGCAAGTAATACATAATTTAAGTGTCTGGCCACATAGTTTAAGAAATCTTTAATAATAAATTCAGGAAATGATAATGTTTAGATTGTAAAGAATAAAATATTAGCCCGGGCTTTTAATACCCCACAATGAATTCATCAGACATGTATTGAAAAGGTAATAACCAAACCATTTTACCTCAAATAAATAGACATTTCTAATTTAAAATCATAGAAAGCTAGATATTCTCCAACTCATTTGCTTTGAAAGTTTAAAAAGCAAGAGTTTACTAATCTCTAAAAATGCAACAGCTCTTAGAATGACCCAAACATATTAGATAAACTGAGAATTCTCACTGCTATTCCATGATAATGAGGATTTCGTTTGAAAGAAGTATTAAATCAGGCTAACCTTTTAATCTCAGTTATTATTTTGAAGCAATAAAAATCATAGTAATAGGGACTCGGGCAGACATGGCTGTGGCAGTATGCTTGTCCGTTTTCCCATTCTTGCCTATTCTGTGATATTCTTTGGACTCGGGCAGACATGGCTGTGGCAGTGTGCTTGTCCACTTCCCACTTTTGTCCTTTTCAATATATGCCAAACAAAACTTTCTTTTACTTTAAAAAAAAAAAATCATAGTAATAAATAACATGGTTTCAAAAATCACCAGACTTAATATAAACATCAACTCAACCAGTACCAGATATGTCACCTTGGCATGTTATTCACTGAACTTCACTTTCTTGGTATATAAAATGGGAATAATATCACTAACATCATATAGTTATAAAAATTAACTGACAATCCATTTTAATTAATTTTTTTTTACTGTTTTATATAACTACTAGCATAGCTTTTTACTCACAGAAAGCATCTGATATATGTTAACTATTGTTATCATTAAGGAGTCCTGGTGGTGCAGTGGTTAAGTGCTTAGCTGCTAAAGGTCAGCAGTTTGAACTCACCAGCCACTCCATGGGATATAGCCTTGGAAACCCAATGGGCAGTTCTAATCTGTCCTATAGGGTCTCCATGGAATGGAATTGACTCGATGACAATTTTTATTATTATCATTGTTATCATTACTATGATTACTGTCTAAGTAGGAGGACAATCTTCTTATGTCTCCACATACAGTCTTCTGGGATCGTCTTCTGTGTATTTGGTCAGGTTTTCCTGTTTGTTTGCTTAGTCTTTGTTTTTGTTTTCCATTTCTGAAATGTCAACTCACTCTTTTCTTCTGCATTAAGCTAAAACCTCAACATTCCCAACAGGACTGACGTTTGTGGCAACTTCCCTCACTAACCATATCCCATAATAATATTCCTGCTATATTAAACTTACTCAGCAATTTTCTTGTATATAATCTACATTACGTTTGTGTTATCTTATTGTTTTCTAGCTGTACCATAGCTTTCATAACTCCACATTACATGCGTGTATATATATTGTAAATGTGTGTATGTGTGTGTACATATATATATTTATACTCCTGCTAATTGACATTTTTTTTAGAACAAAGAATTTTCTCTTATGTATTTAAAAAAAGACCAACACGCCAAGAAAGCTAGTACAGTGGTAGGCGCCGAGTAGGTTTTTAACACATGCTTTTTCAGTTGAATTGTATTGCAACGTAAGATCATAAGGGTCGCTTCATCTCTTCAGTTTTTTCATCCGAAAAGTGACAGAGTTAAATTAGATTCCATGGTACTTATAAGCTCTAAAATTTTATTATTGTAATGTACTAAACTGAAAATTCCTACCCCTTCCTAATACAGGTAATTTCATACTTTTGTTTTACTTATATAACAACTCCCAAATCCTAGGTACAAATGATCCACGTTCTGAATTATCTGAGAAAATTTGGAAGCTGCCATGCCTCAAAGTAGAGCTGTTTTCCACCAGGAAAGCTGGGCTCTGGCGTTGCCCTTTCAAATGTTTCCTTTCCCATACTAAAAATAAATGCTGGGTTCCCATCCTTGCCCAGTGGGTTGCTTCAGGGCATTTAAAAGCTAACATCTCTCCTTTCTCAATTTTATTTCCTCATACCCATCTTATCCACCCTTTCTCTACTTCATAATTACTAAATATTTAGCATTGATAGAAATTCTTACATAACAAGGGAAATGTCTATTCCCTGTTGCCCTATATGCATATAACTAAATCCCTCTTGATTTAGCTTGTGGCAGGGGAGCAATAAAGAAATCAACCTGATAGAAAGGGAAGAAAATTAATAATTATAAATGAATGTGGGCAGAAGAAGTAGAAAGTTTTCAATCTGACTTGACAGTAATACAGGCCTAGATCTAAGACAGTATTCCATTTTAAACTAATCCTGCTTTCTATTCTGTCATTACAGGATATTTTGATGGATGATGGGGCCCATGTTATTCAGTAATCAGAACTGTATCATATTCCCAAATATCAATTAGCTGCTTCTAATTCTGTCACTAGGCTCAATGGTATAATTCAAATTATGCCTAAAAAGAAAGCCCTTGCAATCATAGATATAAGAAGTTATCGTAAGAGCTATCATAAGATCTGCAAGACCAAAGAGTTTTACTGACATATCTATAATTTTAGACTGATTATAACAGAATTCACCTCTACATTCAAATAGACCAAGTACTAGCTCCCCCGTTGTATATTCTATACTCCTTGTAGGAGCAAAATGAATACATAAGAATTGATTTTCCCCAAGGGAAAAGGATTCTTCCATACATTAAAATAAACATGCACCATGCAATATGAAAAAAAAAAATACCTTGGGTTTCTTATTTTCTGGGTCTGTTGACATGGACAATGCACAAGGTGAAATCAGTTCCTTGGTTCTTGTTAGAGAGACTGCAGGTGATGGGGTTGAAACAAATAACCTGTGGTCGGATACTGTGCTTTCAGATTTCCCAGGTCTTGAAGGCAAGGTCCTACTGCCGCAATTTGGGTGCAGTGCTGAGGGACTGAGCTGGAGTGGCTGGGTGGGCAGATTAGCACGAGGGAAAGAGGAGGACCCCAAGCTGGGAAGAGAGGCAGAACTGGCACTTGAGATAGGGGGTGAAGAAGGAGCTGAAGGATGCTGTGCCTGGCCAGACAGCTGTGATGATGCTCTGTTGGATCTGTTTATCAGGTTTGAAAGGGCTGGGGAAGGTTGGAAACCTTTCTCTGGAGAGGAGAGCGTGGCTCTTTGGTTAATGGGAGAAGACGTGGAAGACGATGCAGAGGAGGCTGAAGTGGAAGGGTGTGTGGAAAGTCTCACGGGCTTTTCTGGACCCCTGAGGTCAGCATCCTGTTTGCTTTTCAAAGGAGAAGGAGAAGAGCTAGGTGGAACAGGTGGAAGCCCAGCAGAACTCAACGTATTGCTTTGTAGCAGGGATGGTGTTGCATTGCTCTTCAAAGAAGTGGGTGATGGTGTTTTCTCTACACTGGAAGAAACCAGACCACTACTAGCATGTTTTGTAGGAGAAAGGGAGGGTGCTGGAGAAAATGGAGTAGACTCGGTGAAAATGGGTAAATGAAAGGATTGCTGGGTAACTTCAGAAACCTGGTGTTCCCCTTGTTCTGCAGAACTTGCTCTTAGGGAGCAACTTGAAAGAGATTTCTTAGGCGTGGGTGAGGTTTGCTTTACTTTTTGATCAAGTGTGAGTGTGGAAGAGGCCAGGGAGTTGAGAGAGAAGGCGGGGCAGAATGCAGGAGAAAACGGTCTTTGGTGAGAAGGGTTGGACTTGAGAATAGCAGTGAGAAGGGAAAGCCGAGAGGGCACTGAGGATTTCCCCTCTGACTTTGAGAGATTTCCACTAGATGACATTTGACTACAAACAGTGGAAGAAGAGCCGTGGAAAGAGGAAGTAAATGGTTTGGGGCTTGGAGAGAGTGAATGTGTGACAATACGAACTGGTATGTACAAGGCTGAATTCGGCTTCAGAGAAGCCCCGGAGGATGGTGAAGGAGAAGAGGTTTTCGGACTTTCTCTGGGACTAAGAACATGGGAGGTTAGCGTCGTTGTGTTCTTCAGAATTTCAGGTGTCAGTCCAGGTTTTTGATCTGCTGCACTTGGACTGGGTAAATGAGAACCTGGTAGCTGAGTAGAAGGGGGAAACTGTAGCGTTGAGGAGGTGCCCTTCGATGCCAAAGAGGGTGAAGAGTGAGCAGTAGTTTGAAAATAAGTAGCTGTTTCTTCCACAAAGACCCCACTGCCGTCCAGCCTCCTAGTGTGGAACTCCTCTAGGACAGAGGTGCTGCCGAGGTTACCTGGGTCAGGTTGTGTTTTCTGATTAGTTGGAGAAACAAAGGAGAAAGCAGGTGGTTTACAGGCAAGCTGCTCAGAGGTAGTGGGAGAAGAAGTTAACTAGAGGAAAGAGAAATAGACAGATTGAAACAGGGCATTACTTGTGAAACTATCAAAATATTCCTGTCACTTGTGTGTTCATGCAAACAGTCTTTTTATTAGAGTAAATAAGAGGAGACATCTAAGCCTCCATAAAAATGAATGAGATTCTGTTTTGCTAGTGAGGCATTGTTCTGAATTTGAAATAAAATATACATAAACTGTGAAGCATTATATCTTATCACTCATTAATTCCTCAGGATAAAAACTAATATAAAAGTATATTGTTTTTCCAGATAAAAAATAATTCACTGACAAGATCTAAAATATTTATCTTAATTTGGAATCCTGTGACTTGAAAAGATTTAAATCACCATCAGTATAAATTTCAAAAATTTACCTTGGCATATAAAATATATTTTCTTCCACTGTAAGAATATAAACCATATTACAATGATGATAGCTACAATCCTTAAAAGATTAATACACTTCAAGTGTTTAAAATTCTAAAAACTCGGGCTACTTCTACATATTGTAAACTTTAAAAAAAATGCCCAGAATTCAAAAGATGCAACACCCAACATCAGTATAGAATGATAAATTGAGAGTGAAAGAAAAAAAAAAAAGAAAGAGGGAGTTTTAGCTTATTAAAAATATGGTCCTTAATTATTTGCCAAGGTGCCATGGTGGTGCAGTGTTAAGCGCTCAGCTGCTAACCGAAAAGTCAACCATTTAACCAACCAGCCACTCCACGAGAGAAAGATTTGTCAGTCGGTTTCTGTAAAGATCTATAGCTTTGGAAATCCTATGGGGCAGTTCTACTTTGTCCTATAAGGTCGCTATGAGTTCAAATCTATTCGATGGCAGTGGGTTTTTGAGTCTGGAGTAATTATTTGCCAGAATGAACATTTAACAAAGTACTTGAGGTATGCTGGAAGTATAACAAAAGAAGCCAGAGTGCTTTACAAGTGTAATCTGCCTGAAACAAGGCATCCCAGGAAACCCTACACTAAATAAAGAGAAAATAAAGAAACAATTATCATCTTACAAGAGAGGTTAGGTAGCACCATGAAATAACAGTGTGCTTTATTGTACTGTTTTAAAAATCATTCAGTACGTTACACTACTGAAACCATAAATGATTCTAAAGCCAAATCTTTGAAATAGTGGTTTTCCTTCAAAATTATTGATGTGATTGCATCAAACTATGAGAAAGTTTAAACAAACATGTCTAATAAGTTATTGATTGCTGTCAAGTTGATTCTGACTCATAATGACCCCATGTGTGCAGAGTAGAACTGTTCCAAAGGGTTTTCAAGGCTGTGAACTTTCAGGAACAGATTCCCAGGCCTATCTTCAGAGGCACCTATAGGCAGGTTCAAACTGCCAACCTTTCAGTTAGCAGTCTAGTGCTTCACCATTTGTCTAATAAGAATTTAGGGAATATGCAGGGGAGAATGAAGAAAACCAAAGACACAAGGGAAAGATTAGTCCAAAGGACTAATGGACTACAACTACCACAGCCTCCACCAGACTGAGTCCAGCACAACTACATGGTGCCCAGCTACCACCACTGACTGCTCTGACAGGGATTACAGTAGAGGGTCCTAGACAGAGCTGGAGAAAAATGTAGAACAAAATTTTAACTCACAAAAAAAGACCAGACTTACTGGTCTGACAGAGACTGGAGAAACCCTGAGAGTAAGGCCCCCAGATACCCTTTTAACTCAGTACTGAAGTCACTCCTGAGGTTCACCCTTCTGCCAAAGATTAGATCCAAACTAAACCAAACCCATTGCCATCGAGTCGATTCCGACTCAGCGACCCTATAGGACAGAGTAGAACTGCCCCATAGGGTTTCCTAGGAGAGGCTGGTGGATTCAAACTGCTTACTCTTAATTAGCAGCCAAGCTCTTAACCACTGTGCCACAAGGGCTGCAAAGATTAGACAGGCCCATAAAAAATAAAAAGAAAAAAAAACAACTTAGGGAGTATCAGTCATTCAAAATATTATTGAATATTTATTAAGTGTCATATATATGTATACATTATTATATAATATAATATGTATATATATAATCATATATATATACATTATGTATTAGTCACATATTAGGAGAATGTGTAAGAAAATAATGATTAAGCTTAGCAAAAGCTTGGTTTACAACCACAGTAAAAAAGATTCTTGATGTTGCCTTATAATATGTTCAGAATGTTTCCATCAGGCCTACTGCACAGATTTTCATACTGTAGAGTTCTGAGATCTAAAAATATTTAAAACTGATAAATTCAAACAACTCACCCCAAACTTCTAAGTTTCTGGGCAAACATACCCAAAATATTTCTTTCTTTTATATGTAAATTCGTGTGTGTATTTGCAACACACAGTTCTTGCCACATAAAAAATATTTAATTGACTACATTGGCATAACTCAGAATATCCAAAAATTAGAGATAATTGAAAATCAGGCAGAATTCAATCAAACTGAGAAAGAAAACAATTTCCTCACATGCGCTTTACTTAGAAACAACTCTGCTTAGCCAGTGATTACATAGCTGATTCATGTGGTGAGAGAATATACTTAAATCAAAGAACTACTAGCTGGGCAGCCAAATGTTTCTACACTACAGAATGACAATGTTTTATTCAGAGTTATGTAATCATCTGTAGTCAAATTAACATTTAATCTTTAAGAAATCATTCTCACAGGGTTAATGCTACATTCAAGTCATGTTATTTTTTCACACACAAAATGAAAGGTCTTCACTAATTGCTTCCTATGATTGGTCTCTCCTCACAGAAACAATGGACACATTTCAAACTGTAGGATGTCTTTCCCCCACGTCTGTTTACCTGTGTTTTATTGACTATGCAAAGACATTTAATTGTGTGCATCATAACAAATTCAGGATAACATTATGGAGAATGGGAATTCCAGAACACTTAATTGTGCTCATGAGGAACTTGTACTTAGACCAAGAGGCGACAGAACAGGGAGATGCTACATGGTTTAAAGTCAGGAAAGGTGTGCGTCAGAGTTGTATCCTTTTACCGTACTTATTCAATCTGTATGCTGAGCAAACAGTCCGAGAAGCTGAACTATATGAAGAACTCAGCATCAGGGTTGGAGGAAGACTCATATGCATATGAAAACTGGGCAATGAGTAAAGAAGATGGAAGAAGAATTCATGCCTTTGAATAGTGGTGTCGGAGAAGAATATTGTCTTTACCATGGACTGCCAAAAGAACTAATAAGTCTGTCTTGGAAGAAGTACAACCAGAATGCTCCTTAGAAGCAAGGATGGCGAGATTACATCTCACGTACTTTGGACATGTTACAGGAGGGATCAGTCCCTGGGGAACGACATCATGCTTGGTAGAGGATCAGCGAAAAAGGAAGACCCTCAAGAAGACGGAATAACACAGTGGCTGAAAAAATGGGCTCAAGCATAAGCATTGTGAGGATGGCACAGGATAGGGTAATGTTGCATTCTGTTGTACATAGGGTCACTATGAGTCGGAACTGACTCGACGACACTCAACAACAACAACAAGGATGTCTTTGCTCGTGCAAAGCCTCGTTGTTTCATAAAAGAATTTTCTAAACTAACAACAACAGCCACAAAAATCCCATTATCTTTTCAGTCATACTATTTCCAAATGAGTTCAATTTATACAACAAAATCATTAATTCATTCATCTTGATCCTACTCAAAATCATCACTATGTTAAGATCATAAGGCCATAATTGTGAGGGTCTCATTAAGAGGAAAAGACCAATCCCTCCAAATTTCTTAAGACTAAGGCTTCTAATTATCAAACACTATACTACATGAAGTCCTATTTTACCCAAGATAAATAATTCAGAATTTTATTTTAGTTTTAAGCATTGATTGTTGAAGGACTTCTAAGAGAGAGAATGTTCCTTGTGTTTATATTAATTGGTATATATACATGTAAAAAAAAACCTATTGCCATCGAGTTGATTCTGACTCATAGCGGCCCTATAGGACAGAGTAGAACTGCCCCATAGAGTTTCCAAGGAGTGGCTGGTGGATTCAAACTGTTGACCTTTTGGTTAACAGCCAAGCTCTTAACCACTGCATCATCAGGGCTACTATAT